AGGGGGGGGGGGGGGAGTGTATCCCTGGGGGCTTATAAACGGGAGGTTCATATCCCTGGGGGCTTATAACAGGAATAGGAAAAGCTCGTCGAAATATAGCAGTGCTGATCAAAATACGTTTGGCATTTTCTGGTTTGAGTTTAAAAGCTTCAGAACGTCGTAATAAATCGAATTCATTTCAATACATTTGGAACAGATCAGAAGGGGTCTGTACACCTGGGGAGGCTTATAATTCGGATGTATTATATTTTATAGGCGGATGGGTCTACAACTAGGGGGCTTATAACTGGGTCCGGGGGGGTATAAGCGGCAGTTTACAGTATGTCAATTAATATAAATGACAAGTCGATAACAACCTGCCTTTTGACTCTAAAACAAGAATTATCGTGCAAAAATTGCTAAAGTTATCTTCCTCCTCTCCGCTCTGCTTTACTCACTAACGTGAAGGTCCCGAATCAAGTCACTGAGGTGTCTATAGGGTTGGTTTTGTTTTACGTTGTGTGTCTTCAACATGATGAAAAAAGCATTTTCTTTGATTTTCGTTTTTCTGTTGGCATCGTCAAATTGTTCACCGAATAATGCCAAAACTGTCTGCTTTGACCTCAAGGTAAGATAATTATTTCTTATGATTAGCTGTGAAAAACGAAAATGACCTCCTGTCGCTTAGTTCTAGATGAATGCGGTCGATAAATTGAATTACGACGAGTTCTGATATGAGTCTATAGGCAGCAATAAGATTTAAAGAAAAAGTATATATATTTAGGACGTTCTCTTTGCAATTGTAGCATGAATTTCTGTCTTGGTTTTCTGATTTTCTGACAATACAATATAGTATGTATATTTCATAATTTTGAAAAAATAATGGGCCATAATTAAAAATGTCCTAAAATACTTGATCAGACAGTAATCGTTGATGAAAAAAGGAAGATTCTCACGAGATGACACTTTTCTAGCCAGCTAGGGGAAGTTCCCTAGGGGAAAGGGGAAATCACATAGGTGAAGAGAAATTCTCCCTAAGGGAAAGGGGGAAATTCAATGTAGTTTCTTTTGTTTTATTCCCCTAAACCACGGAGTCAAGTAGTAATTTCAGTATATCGATCGAAAGTTTAGTGGGCTATTAGGTTAATTTCCATGAGTTAAAGTCAAACATTTGGTTTAAAGAACGATTAAAAAAAATCCTTCTTCTTTTGTTTTATTTTGATTCTAAAGCTGAAATTAAATCAATGTTGGTCAGATTTTCACATTTGACGCCGATCAGGAGCCCATGGACTCCTGCATCGATTATCACGAAATGAGCAGCCATCACTTATTTTTGGAATGCATTCGGCATAGTCATTATTCTATATCTACAACTCTTTGATCCTCTTGTCCCTTAGCAACACAGTATGTTCTCGCAGAGTACCACCCGGCATTCCTGGAATGAATGGTCTGAATGGAAACAACGGGTCACCAGGAACTATGGGTGAAAAGGGTGTGGCAGGTCCAACTGGACCACGTGGATTCAAGGGAGAGGCTGGCGTTAAGGGAGAAACAGGCGTGGCTGGTCCACCCGGGCCACGTGGTGCTAAAGGAGAAGCGGGTCCAGCTGCAAAGGCTTCTCAACAAAAGAATTGGAAGCAGTGCGCTTGGAAGACGGTTGACGGAAGGGATACTGGCGTGATAAAGGTATATTGCAAACAAAGCCTTCTACTGCCACCACGTTACGTTAAATGAATCTCTCACAGTAATTAGAATCAACGGCTTTCNTAATTTCCATGAGTTAAAGTCAAACATTTGGTTTAAAGAACGATTAAAAAAAATCCTTCTTCTTTTGTTTTATTTTGATTCTAAAGCTGAAATTAAATCAATGTTGGTCAGATTTTCACATTTGACGCCGATCAGGAGCCCATGGACTCCTGCATCGATTATCACGAAATGAGCAGCCATCACTTATTTTTGGAATGCATTCGGCATAGTCATTATTCTATATCTACAACTCTTTGATCCTCTTGTCCCTTAGCAACACAGTATGTTCTCGCAGAGTACCACCCGGCATTCCTGGAATGAATGGTCTGAATGGAAACAACGGGTCACCAGGAACTATGGGTGAAAAGGGTGTGGCAGGTCCAACTGGACCACGTGGATTCAAGGGAGAGGCTGGCGTTAAGGGAGAAACAGGCGTGGCTGGTCCACCCGGGCCACGTGGTGCTAAAGGAGAAGCGGGTCCAGCTGCAAAGGCTTCTCAACAAAAGAATTGGAAGCAGTGCGCTTGGAAGACGGTTGACGGAAGGGATACTGGCGTGATAAAGGTATATTGCAAACAAAGCCTTCTACTGCCACCACGTTACGTTAAATGAATCTCTCACAGTAATTAGAATCAACGGCTTTCAGTAGGCAGGCTGTACCGCAGCCTAAATTACCATGAACAAATCACGGCCGTCACTTTACCTGTAAGCGATTACTTAAAAAGAACAATTAAATTAATGAGCTAACAAATTCGATAACTAAAATTTTGTCTTCTCTTTAAATGTTATATTAGTCACCAGGAGCCTACTAATTAACTATTCTTACTTCTTTATTGTGATTAGTCTGTGTACAGACGTCCCTCTCCTTCTGAGGGGAGGGGGAGGGGGGGGGAGGGCGTCTGACACAGTCTAATTGTGATGTGCCACGGTTGAAAAGGTATTTAATTTTCCTTTCCTCAAGTTAATTGACCAGATTGAATTTTGTTGTTGTTGTTGTAACAGGAGTGCCAGTTTACCAAAATTAGAGATCATACAGCGCTTCGTGTAGTGTACCAAAGCAACTTTCGACTGCATTGCAACCAGTGCGCTAAGCGATGGTTTATCACATTTAATGGCAACGAGTGCAGCTCGCCTCTTCCTATTGAAGCAGTCATGTGGATTTGAAGTAGTAGCCAAGACAATCACCTACCCGGCGCAATAGAGGGCTACTGCAATAATATTGGCAAGGGGAAAATCCGCGTTGGAATCAACATTGGAAATCTCGGGAAAGCAAACTCAGATGGTCAAACAGGCTGGGGAACTGTTTCTCGTTTGATTATAGAAGAGGTCCCTCGGTCTAAGTGAAAACGTTTTGATATCAATCAAGCCTGCTGGCGCTTTTCAGTTGTTCATTAATTAAAATAACACCCTATAGATAAACGTTGTAGAACTGATATGAAAATAAAGCGCGTCTTGAGTAATAGATACAAGCATGTGGTTATGAGAGTTAATCATCATCATCATCATCATCATCATCTTCATCATCATCATTATCATTATTGGAAAGCTCACTTGTATTACAGTGAAACCTTGATTTAACCAACCTTTATATAACGAAGTCCTTGGTATAACGAACGATTTTCTTCAGCCCGGCCAAAATTACAATAAAGTGTATGGAACAGAACCTCGATTTAACGAAATCCTCGTAAAAAACAAACACAATCCACAAGCGCAAACGTAAAATTTACCTCAATATAACGAATAAATGTGATTATGTGATAAAAGATGAATGGCAAACAGACCAACAAGGATAAACTTTATGTGTACAGTAATTTTAAGCACTTGTTCTTGAGTTTCGGGAGCCGTAGCTATGTCTAGCTCGGCACTAAAATGTTATTGGTCTTATTACATTAATTTTTTTAGATCCGGAAATGCTGGTTTTAGTAAATTAATCATCAACTATACCTCGATATAACGAGTATTTTGGTAGTTTTACCGAAAATTCGTTAAATGGAGGTGTTCGATATAACGAACCCTCGATTTAACGAACAAATTTCCCCAGCCCCTTGGCACTTTGTTAAATCGAGGTTCCACTGTAATTCCTATTCTGCCTTAAAAGCAAAAGTCACATAGAATTCGAGACTTCGTTTTAATACATACGAATAAACAATTTTTACTATGTGAAAGTACTGATTTAGATGTTTTCAATTAAATGATAACACTATCTGACCACAAGATTGCATAGGTCAAAGGTCCAAGGGATAAAACTAAATTTTATCTCAACATATTGCGACTCTGGCAGTAAGAATACGAATCAAGTTGCTCGGTTTCTAAGCAAATCTTCGACCTCTGATCTTCCTTTCTTTTCCATATGTCGCCCGATATAAGGGAATCAAAGGGTGCCTTGGATTCTGGATTCCAAGCGGTGGATTCTGGATTCCAGGTACTGGATTCTGCAATCCGGATTCTGGATTCTTTTTTCAGGGGAACTTGGATTTCGGATTCCAATTGTTCGTGGGATCCGGGGGCCCGTTTCTCGAAAGTCCCTGTAACTTTACGGGCCCGAAATCAAATATTCAAATCGAAATATAAAGAATAAGAGCGTGGGTACTGGCTAGCAAACAACTCCATTTTGTTTCATTAACTGATAGTTTTATCATGATAGATGCAAAACTATTGAAACCTCGATCCTTAATGTAAACGGGGACAGCTTACCGGGCCCGTTAATTATCGGGACTTTCGAGAAACGGCCCCCGGGTTCTTTAAGCTGTAGTAAACGGCGTAAATGTGTAAATATCATATCGTAAAATTCCGAAAATAAGCCCCTCCATGTATAAGCCCCTCCAAATATAAGCCCTCCAAACCGGTAACGCAAAAAAACCCTCCGTTGAATCGCCTCTCCAAATTTAAGCCCCCGGGAGGCTTGTGCGTGGAAAATTGCCCTCAAATACAAAGTAAAACAAAACAAAAACGGTAAATTTACTTCCAACTATAAGGCTAGCCCAATCGATTTTGAAGCCCAAATTTCCTTCCGTATATAAGAGGGTCTCAATGGGGTTAACCGATAGGCGTAAAACGGCCAAAAATTTAGTCGATAGCCGTAAAAATTGAAAAATTTTAACCGTTAGCCGTAAAAAGGGGAAAAAAGAGTTAACCGTAAAAGAAAGTGTTCCCTAGACTTGCTACTTTTAAGGATGGTACTAAACTCACTTATGCTTGCGTTTTTTATTTCCCGGCTAGTGTGACTCCGTACGCACGTTAGGCAAAGCGCCTTAACCAATACCTAGGCTCCATTTCCGGTGCTCTCTCGGGGAACTAATTTTTTCCATTGTGAAAGTGTGGCTTCTTGCTGGGGATTAATATTTGCAATTTTCCGGAGGTCGTGCCCTCGAAATACTAGTGAAACAACACGCAGAGATGTCACTGTTTGTAAAACACGTTGCCGATAAACAACATTTCCCTGTTTTTCTCTGACGCCACGGTAGACATTGCCATGCCTAATCCCTGTACGGCGTCTTCCCACGCAATCTTGGTCAAGGCATTTCAGTGGCGAACTCGCTCGGACCACGTGACGCGAAACGCATTAGCCGCGCGGAATAATGCAGCCTATGGACAAGGCAACGGCAGACAGTCGTTCCGTAAAGTCCTTCGCTATCATTAAAAACATTGGACGCGGGAGTTTTTTTATTGGCCGTTTTCCACTAGAGCTAGAAATGGATCATCTCTCTGAGACTAGCCTGTGTACAGTCGCGTCCTCCCCACCGATTTTTTCTGAGAGGAGGAGGTGGCTGTACACAGGCTATCTGGAACGCATAATCCCGTCTTCAAAAGTCAGGCGGATTGTTCATTCAAAATTAAAACTATTTCATTTGCAAATTAAGACGTATTGCCTATCTGACGAGAATCATCAAACGGATAACCTATCTCACAAGAATAAATCCTTGTCTAGTGTGAAAACGGACATTTCTGTTATAATGAATGTCGTGCCGCGGCCTTGAGTTGGGCGTTCGCGTGTCTGGTTTTGCTTTTCCACAAAGATTATTTTTAAATTGACTATTGACATTTTTTAAGTGTAAAATAATATTAGAAGTGGAATACTTTATAAAAAGTATGATCTATCAAATGTCAAAATGTTTCAAAAGAACAGCTTATTTCATCCCCAGATGATCCAAGGACCTTTATTCAAAAAAAAATACAGGTTACTAATATTTAACTTTTTGAAACAAAAGAAGTTAATTTTTAACTTTTCGTTAACCGTAACTGAAAAAACTTAATCGATAGCCGTAAAAGAGCCAAAATTTTAGCCGATAACCGTAAAAGCCACCACCCCATTGAGACCCTCATATAAGCCCCTCCGAATACAAGCACCTCCAAAAACAAGCTCCTCAAAGAGGGCCTTTGAAAAATATAAGCCCCGGGGCTAATTTTCGGAATTTTACGGTATTATCCACTCGCCTCAGGGCTTTTCAGGGATAATTTACAACACTGGTTGGGGGACTTTGCCAGACTGCTTAAGGTGCAGTTTACAAGTAATGAAGGAATGAGTAATGATGCCCCCTTACATGAGTGTGAAAGTGGGATAGACCACTACACCGGGCACTAAGTGCCCTACTCTTCACGAAGAGTGTGTGGGTTCTTTAACGTCTCACAGATTTTTTATTACATGTGAAAGGTCTTGCGAGACGGGGCCTACGTTATCGTCCTTATCCGAGAAGACTAGAAAGTCAAACCGTTTGCAGATGTTATTACAAAGGCAGCAATTTCAGCAGCCAAATTCTGGAATCCTAATTTCCTTACATGCTGGGGTGTCATATGGCGGGATGTGATTACGCGCGGGATGTGATTTCGCGCGGGATGTGACTACGCGCGGGATGTGACTACGCGCTCAGTACCATCTTGTTACAATAACTAACGGAAGCTACGTAGTACGTACTGAAGAGGAGACCAGCAAGCAGGGATTCTTTAGCCAGACACAACGTATGATGGCATTATGAGGAAGGCGATAAGTTGTAGCTTTTTCCGGTCTGCAGCATAGCCTGATTTAATGAACTAAGCATCTCTGTACTACTGATGAAAGGGAAATATGCTGTCATGGCAATTCCAGCCGTTCATGGGATCTATGGACACGCACAAAAGCCAATGATTGCTGTTTTAGATAAGACAAACACAACGTATCCTACAAGCGAACGAAGATTCGGAGCTTTAATTGGATTCCCCGCAGAGTCTGAAAAGTCAGGGAACTTGAATTATTACCCCCATTAACGCTGAGTTCGAAAACTTCGCTCCAAATTAAAGAGACAGGCGACCAGTTTTTCCCATCAACGACGGACTCTCGGGAAGCATAGGCTGGATTGCCATGCAGCCGCTGTTCGGGAAATGAGACAATGCTAGAGGGCGACAGAAATCGAGCCTAGAAAAAGCAAGGAAGCTTGGGATACCTGCGATGACGTCATTGTTCATTAATAAATTTTGTCTAAAAGTTTCAACACGGAGAGAGGGAATCCCAAGTAACATGAGATGTGACTGTTGAACGTTGAAAGCCTTGGGTAAACTCCGTAATCTACGCAATCCTAAGCGCTTTGTATGCACAGTTGAAAGAAAATCAATTATCGATGAAAAAAGGTAGAATGCGCTGAATGCATTCATGGAAAAAGCGCTAATGAGCCTATAAAAATAATATTCTTTTGTAAAATTTCCGGCATACACTTATTGCTAGTCCACATACTGAAAAGTACTGAGTATAATTCCAACCCTTTTTTTCATAGAACTGAAAATGCTGAGTACTACGAGTTGAAATTTTCAATTGTTTAAATCGATGACGTCATGCATGCTAATGAGGAAAATTTAAGCAATTGTCATATAAACAAAGATACGCTTAATGTATCCTCTGCTGCGGTTATGAGCGTAACATCCAACCATCAGGAAACCATCTTCTACGAAGACAGTCCATAAGGACTCAAGCCAACGAGATCACTTTGTCTTCCAGTAAAGCATAGAGTTAATCCAGAAGTTACGTTCAGAAAAAGTTCTTCCAGCGTGCGTTCCGTCACCAGGTTAAAGAAAGCCACTTTGAAGTAAGTTGCATTGCTTTTTGAAACAAAGAAGTCTTTGTACCCTGAATGATAGAAAATATTATGAGCATACAATGCCTTTTATTAGTTTTAATAGATGCACATTTCTGCGAT